GACCTGTCCATGGGCAGCAGGTGGGGCCACTGAGGGACGGCCCCTCCTTCCTGCCAGATGTGAGGCCCACCTAGTGACAGCTACACAGGTACTCAGTGCATCGGGTGAAATCTTAGCTCGTTGTCACAAAGACTCAGGGAAGACACTATTCCTCTCATTCCCTCATTACTGAGGAGACCGAGTACAGTCAGCCCGAGTGGCCTGCTGGGTGGGGAAAGGGCCAGGCTATCAGCCGTGGGTCCGCTGGAGGGAGGTGTGACAGAGGCCCCTGTGCTGTGGCTACGGCGGAAGGAGGGACTGTTGCCAGGCCACCCGCCCAGGTTCTCCCGGAGGGCCCAGGGCCCCGAGTGGGGGGGGCCGGGGGGGTTAGAGGCACAGGCCACAGTAGCAGTGGAGGCCTGGGTTTCACACCCGCAACGCCAACTTCCTAGTTGGGGGCCGTGGTCTTCCAGGTTGTTTCCGTTCCCATTGCCGCATTCCACCCAGACACCGTCCAGCAGCGGAGGACAATCTCCCTTCACTTCATTTCCCAAAAAGGGACACGGCTACTCCAGGTTCCTCGGTGGCATTAGAGGCCGCCATCCACACAGAGCACCAGGCCGGTCAGGGCGGCCGGGCTAAGTGGGCTAAGTGTTCGATGGAGAGGGATCCCAGGTCCCCGATTCCAATGTCAGGGGCACCCGAAGTTCTGGGCAGAACTGCGTGGGTGGCCTGCAGAGAGGCAGCCGGAAGGAAGTGCCCACCAGGAACACACCTGGGAAGTCCCACACCACCTCAGGGTTCTAGCTGTCCCAGCCTCCCACACCCCTCACCTCAGATTTGAGACAACCGACTGCGTTCATTAGACTGTCAATCTTCTTATCATAATGGTTCATTTTACAGTGACCCGAGTCGTCATCCTCTGTAGAGAGGTCACTTAATCGCATTACTGAGACCAGCTTTTCTGAAGATGGTGGCGTAATCTCCAGGCAGTGAGGTGGATTCTGATGTAGAGGAGGGAGAACACAGGAACTCATAAGGCAAATCCACAGCCATCAGCTCCACCACACCTGGTTGTCCACAGGCAGGAAGAACCAAAATGCTAACGGGCCAGCCACAGGGGCCCCAGAAGCCAAAATCTGCCATACCTACTTGATGGAATGCCACCTATCCCTGTTTAAATGTTTTTGAATATTTTCTAACACAGAGATAGTATTTAAAATAAAAAATACAAAGTGCCAAAAACAGTAATTTCTAAAGTTGGCAAATGTTTGGGGCAAGAAATGTTTTCATATACCTAGAGTAGAAGTGAAGTATGTCAAAAGTTTTTTAAATGAATATGAATGCCTAATAGTAGATAGTTGTAAAGGTAACAAATCTTTTATAAAAGACATTTTAAGTAAGGGAATTTGAATATTCACCAGATATGATATATGATAATAAGACATAAAGTTTTTAGGAGTAATAATTGTTATTTTGGTTATATAGAGAAAATGTTACTAGAAATACATACGGAATAATTAATATGGTATGCTGTTTGGAAAATACTTAAATACATCAGCATAAAAAAATTTAATGTATATGCCCCTCAGAAGAGTTTATGCGAAGCTGTATAATGCTTGGCTATTAAGACTTCAAAAAGAATATTATAATCTGGGGGTCCAGGATTTGCATGGGTTTTTGATAAATTGAACTTGACTCATTCTACAAATTTATTCTGATGCATTAAGTAGCTGCTATTTCTCATTATTTATGTAGTTCTTTGCTCCTCTTTTTTTAAAATATATTTTTATTTAAAAATTCAGAGAGGAAGGGAGAGGGAGAGATAGAAACATCAATGATGACAGAGAATCATTGATTGGCTGCCTCCTGCACACCCCCAACTGGGGATGGAGCCCGCAACCCAGGCATGTGCCCTTGACCGGAATTGAACCTGGGACTCTTCAGTCCGCAGGCCAACGCTCTAGCCACTGAGCCAAACTGGCTAGGGCTCTTTGCTCCTCTTAAGCCACTGTTGGCTGACCTTCTGTGCCAATTTCCAGGAAAAGAGGATGGCTATCAGGAGTAAGAGGTGGTATACAATAAGAGTGTAACTGTTATATTAAACAAGTAGGACTCATTGAGTACAATTTGAAGAATGTATGTGCCGCCCTGACTGGTTTGGCTCAGTGGATAGAGCGCCGGCCTGCGGACTCAAGGGTCCCAGGTTCGATTCCGGTCAAGGGCATGTACCTTGGTTGCGGGCACATCCCCAGTAGGGGGCGTGCAGGAGGCAGCTCATCGATGTTTCTAACTCTCTATCCCTCTCCCTTCCTCTCTCTAAAAAATCAGTAAAATATATTTTTAAAAAAATGTATGTGCCTTTGGTTCCAGCAATTCTATTTCTAGGGATTTATCAAGAAAATGAATCAGTATTTAAATTCAAGGCAAGGATACAGATAAATATATGACAATATAGTATTGTTTCAATACGTAACAGTACAAACATACAAATAATAAAATACTGCCTTAAAAAATTAACATGCGCCCTGGTGGGCGTGGCTCAGTTGGTTGAACGTTGCCCCATGTACCAAAAGGTCACTGATTCAATTCCTGGTCAGGGCACATACCCAGGTTGCAGGTTTGGTCCCCAATTGCCAGAGGCAGCCAATAAATGTTTTTCTCTTTCTCACATCCTCTCTATCTCAAATCAATAAAAACATAAAAATTAAAAATAAAAACCACTAAAATAATAATAACATGTAATGGAAACATAGTTAAAGTATATTTTTAAAAAAGGATGCTGTGCCCGGCAGGTGTGGCTCAAGGGATTGAGCGTCACCCCTATACACCAAGAGGTTGCTGGTTTGATTCCTGGTCAGGGCATAAGCCCGGGTTTGGACTCCATCCCCAGTAGGGGGTGTGCAGAGGGCACACCTTTAAAAAGGATGTTGTACAATAATTAAAATATAATCCCATTGTTACAAAAATTAAAAATGAGTCAGTTCATAAGACAAGATCAGGAAGTTGCAAGTGACATAAGTAATTTCAGGGTAGTGGGATCATAGGTGATTTTTAGTTTCCTCCTTAATTTGGGTTTTCTAATTTATCAACAATGACTATGCATTACTTTTATAAGAAAAAATAATTTTTAATATTTAAAAGAAAATCGGAAAATATACAGATAGCATCATTACAATTGAAGTAAAAAAAAACAACTCTGCACCCTGACTGGGTAGTCAGTTGGTTGGAGTGTCGTCCCACACACCCGGGGGTTTCCGGTCCGGGCACATACCTGGATGGTGGGGTCGATCCCCGGTTGGGGTGCATACAGGAGGCAACAAATCAATGCTTCTTTCACATCAATGTTTCTCCCTCTCTCCCTTCCTTTCTCTCTAAAATCAATTTAAAAAAAACCACATACTTGCATGGGTATGGTAAAAGCACTAAAATATTAGTTTTGGGACAGTGATTACCCTTGGGGAGGAAGTGACAGGAAAGGGCCAGAGGGGAGATTCGGGGGAAGCTGGCTGATCTGTGCATGGTAGTATAACCACTACCTCAATCTCGGTAATGGTTACATGGTATTCCGTTGTATGGATGTATCATAATTTAAGCAAGACCCTCCTGACATTTAGGTTGCTTCTGATTTTTCTCCATTACCACTTAATATTTTAAAGCTTAGCCGAAACCGGTTTAGCTCAGTGGATAGAGCGTCGGCCTGCGGACTGAAAGGTCCCAGGTTCGATTCCGGTCAAGGGCATGTACCTGGGTTGCAGGCACATCCCCAGTGGGGGATGTGCAGGAGGCAGCTGGTCGATGTTTCTCTCTCATCGATGTTTCTAACTCTATCTCTCTCCCTTTCTCTCTGTAAAAAATCAATAAAATATATTAAAAAAAAAAAATAAAGCTTAATAGGAGCCAGATTAGGGAAGAATTACAGACAATTTCCTATTTTACTGTATTTTCAGTTTTCCATAATGAAATCGATCCCTTCATTTAATAATAGAGAAAAAAGCCAGACCTCCTTTTTCCCAAAGCTAACCTTATGTATCAGGAAGGGTTTTTCAAAAACTAGAATCCCTACATGCACACAGCAGCTCTGGGTCCGTGTTCCGCTCCACCACAAGCTTCCACCTCCTAGAGTCTTTTCTCTTTTGTCCAGAACAGAAAAGGCCAGGCGGGGCCTCCCAGGCACACACAGGCCCCTGGGAAGTGGAAAGGGCTAGCCCCAGTAGCATGAAAGACAACTGCTGTTTGAGAGATGACAAGTCACCTCTCTGGGCCCCTCCATTTCTGGATTCTGTGGCCCAGGAATCAAACAGACAGTAGCTTTCCGGAGGAGATCATAGTTCTAGCAACTCATGTCAAAAGGACGCCAATTTCCATAACGGCAAATCTTTGTTGTAGACTCTGAAAACTACCATTGTTTTGCAAAGCATTTTAGATAATAAAATATAGTATGCTTAGGAAGAAATTCAAGCATGCCATTAAAAATAAACCATTAAAGCCTCCCATACTCCCAAGGTAAGTAAGCACTGCTTAACACTTCTGTATACCCTCCCAGAAAATGCTATGTGCATACAAACATGTCCACACAGGGACACACAGACTCCCCTTTCTGGACAAACTGGGCGGCATTCTCTATGCTATGTGGCTCTGTGACACATTATCATGTATAAATACTACCTCAATCCTGGTAATGGTTACATGGTATCCCATTGTATGGATGTATCAAAATTTAAGCAATATCCTCCTGACTGACACTTAGGTTGCTTCTGATTGTTCTCTATTACAAACAATGCTGTAGCAAAAACAGCATTTACACACAGTCCCTGTATTCTTCTGTGACTTTTTTTTTTAAATGTGGTTGGCATGGATAAGTGCATATCTTATTCTTTTTTTTTATTGTTAATCCTCACCTGGGGATATTTTTCCATTGATTTTTAGGGAGAGTGGTAAAGAGAAGGAAAGACAGAGAGAAACATCGACGTGAGAGAAACACATCAATTGGTTGCCTCCTGCATGAGACCCGACCAGGGCTCGGCCCAGGGAGGAGCCTGCAACCAAGGTACGTGCCCTTGACCAGAATCAAAACTGGGACCCTTCGGTCTGCAGGCTGATGCTCTATCCACGGAGGCAAACTGGCTAGGGCTACATTAACTTTTAGAGAGAGGGAAAGACAGGGAGAAACATCGATGTGAGAGAAACACATCCATTGGTTGTCTCAGGCATGGGCCCCGACCAGGACCTGGGCTGGGAGGACTTTTAAAAGATAAATTCCTATGCGCTAGCTGGTTTAGTTCAGTGGACAGAGCGCCGGCCTGTGGATTGAAGGGTCCCGGGTTTGATTCTGGTCAAGGGCACATGCCAGGGTTGCGGGCTCAATCCCCAGTGGGGGGCATACAGGAGGCAGCCGATCAATGATTCTCTCTCATCATTTTTGTTTCTATATCTCTCTCCCTCTCCCTTCCTCTCTGAAATTAATAAAAATATATGAAATAAAGATAACTTCCTAAATGTAAAACTAGAAGCAATGTTTAAATAGATGCTGCCAAGCTATCTCCAGAACAGCTGAATCGGTTTCATGATCCTCTCAAAACTGTCAGAACGCTTTTCACTTATTCCCTAGGTCCCGCCCCCCCACCACACACACACTTCAGTAATCTCTTAGGGACAAACAGGTAAATCAGGGAGTCAAAACCATAAGTATGATTACAAACTTTAGAATAATTACTTTTATTTATTGTTAATTATAGAAGGAATAAGCTTTCAGAAAACTGAATCTTCCAAAATAGATCAGGTATCATCATCTTAAAGTAGCCTGGAGTTTTTTATTTGTCCCAATAATGAGATCTCTGTCTAAAACATGACCAAAAGGCCTTGTCTTATCATTTGAGTTTTTCACTGTAATTGACAAGAATGGGCACATCTGTATGCTGCAGGTGTAATCCAGGGCCCCGCAGTCTGGCATAAGTCTCAATAAACATACACAGCATGAACTACTGCAGAGATGGATGGACAGGCATGTTGAGGTGTGACTAAAAAATGACAACAGTTCTCTTGTTATCTTGACAACTAAGTCTGAAGGCACTTATGCATCAGTTCATTCCAAAAGTGGCCTTGATGACACTGTGGAATCTGTGCCTGGTCTTGACAATGACTACCTCAAAAAAGGCGATGCTTTTCTGGGTATGTACATTCTGGTGTGTATGTATATAAATGTGTATTCAGTTATGCTCCAAAACTATCAGTCACGTGGGAAAAGACATGTGGCTCCTCACATATAAATCAGAGAGGTCAGGAGTACAGCCCCTAGAACAGGGGTCCTCAAACTACGGCCCGCAGGCCACATGCGGCCCACTGAAAACATTTGTTTTTTTACTTCAAAATAAGATATGTACAGTGTGCACAGGAATTTGTTCATAGTTTTTTTTTTAAACTATAGTCCGGCCCTCCAACGGTCTGAGGGACAGTGAACTGGCCCCCTGTTTAAAAAGTTTGAGGACCCCTGCCCTAGAATGAGATTCCCTTGAGTACTCACTCCAGCTCTGCTACCTTCTCTGTGAGCCCTCACCGGTCGGGGCCTTCATTTCCTCATCTGTACATGAGCAGAGCAGGACCCACCACATCTCACGGGACCTACTGCATGTCTCTAAGAGCTACAGCTGACCCTGAGTCATACCGAGTTTGAGGCCTGCTAGATAGAGCCTGCCTAGTCCGAGGAGAAAAGCCTGAACAAGAGTGAGCCTACCTCCCACTTGCATCCCACATGCCGGGCAGATGATTTTCTGGGGGGCATCCAAGGTGAGCCTACCTCCCACTTGCATCCCACATGCCGGGCAGATGATTTTCCGGGGGGCATCCAAGGTACCTTGGTTTTCACTCGGACACTCCGCCGCACATTCACGGTGTCCCCTTTCATTCCGCGCTTATGAGATTTCTGTGGAGAAGGACAAACCCGAGGTCACTTTCTCACACAGCCGGCTGTGGTGTCACTCTGATGGATGGCATCCATCTCCAACTCTGCCAGGGAGCCTCTTCTGACTAGGGCTGCCGCCGCCACTTCTGGATGACAGTCCTGCCTACCTTCTAACCAGGCGACTGACCTCTGAAAGCAAGTGCGTCCGTCTGTCAAACCTTTGGAGTTAGGAGCGCGAGGAGGCTGAGCGGAGCTGTGTCACCCGCTCCATAGCCGTCACCTCGCCCACTGGCATGCTCCTACCTGGCTGCTGGCCGCTGCTGGTTTCGGGAGTTTTTTTATGTGGACGTGGACAGGGGTGTTCTCATCCACATGAACATGTAAGGGGGGAGTTGAAGAGTGGTCCTTCATAGTTCGCTTCTGGCAGGCCGAGGGAGACAACACAAAAAAGGTTGATCTGTGGATGAGTAAACTGGGCATAAAACACAGAACTCGCAGCCTCTGAGGGCCGCTGAAAGCCTCGCCACCAAGCGAGCAGGACAGCTACTAACGACTGGCAT